GAGAGAGAGAGAGAGAGAGAGAGAGACTGGGAGTGAGAGAGAGCTGAAAATAGCATCAATTGTGAGAGCATTGAAATAAACGGCGGAAAAGAGAAGTGAGAGAAACATGAATTGCAGTGAAAGCTATGATAGTGTATAGTGTAGTGTTGGGCAGAGTGTAGGGTAGGGTATGTTTGGATGTATACCTGTGCGATGGGTCAACAGTGTTGGAGTGAGTGACCAGACAGTGTTAGATTCATGTAGACTGTGGTCATAACTGATGACAAGTGCTGGCACTGTATTCACTGCAATGACAGCTCCAGTGGCACTGTTAGACTGGATTGAAGCGATTGTTTCGTAGCTATAGTTTGCTTGTAGTTATAGTTATGGCAGAAGTGAGTGAGAAGTGAGAAGTAGTCAAAGGGTTGGGTAGGAATAGAAGCCAAGGACAGCGTTATAATCACTAACTGTTAGACTCTGTTACCAGTGTTTGCTGTGTCTCTGTGTTAGTGAACATGATGCAGCCCCGAGTCTCCCAAACATTCATTGCTATCCATTTAAACCATATTTTATGCATTCAAAGAAATCATAAATAAAATTGTCTTTACTTTTTTTAATGTCATTGAATGCATTGCTCTTATTATAACTATAACCATTTGCTTTTAATTCAAACATAACCATAATTTACTCCATTTAGTCATCGTTTTAACAATCATTTTGATACTCGAGATTTTGTTTTTTATTTAATTCATTATGAATTTGTTTGTATAAATGTTCAATGTTTGGTTTATACAATTGATTTGAGTATAGAATTTGAAAATAAATAAATTGATTAAATAGAGTGTAGAGTGTTATTAAAAATAGTAAATATTATAAAATAAATATATAAAATAACTGTAAAGTTATCTAAACTTTCATTACGTAATTATATGCGATCCCTAATCGTTACCCCTTTGAATACAGTCATAGACATCATAGACATGCGAATTACGAGTGAAAGGGTTGAGGAGAGACATAATCACCAGTTCCTACATTACAGAGACTATACCACACCATACCATACCATTGATGCTATACTGCAATACATGAAAGCACTCGCGATTGCCTCCCATATACTCGACTACAGAATATCTGTATTTCATAAGAGTATAGTATTATATAACCCTTTATTCACTTCATTTCTATGCAACCCATTCCACACAACCCTTTCCTCACACTAAACACTCAGCTCTCTCTCTCTCTCTCTCTCTCTATTCTCTCTCCCATTATATTCTGTATTAATTCCATTCACTGTATACTGAATGCAATGTTTAATAAATCACTTTTTTAATGATAATTATATGCTAAGCATTATATGAAGAGAGAGTATAACTTTTTTCTTTAACTTCTCATTCTCTGGTAATACGTTTCCTTTCGCCCAAGACTTTGATATGATTGATGATAGGCTGTGCTCTCTCTCTCTCTCTCTCTCTCTCTCTCTCTCTCTCTCTGGCGTAATATTCGTTGATTTGGAGGAGAGAGTAAAACAGAGAATAGCAATGAATCACACATTTGTGTGCAAAAGGCATCGCATGTAAGGCTGACTGACATCACATTCAAATCACTCATTCTTTCCGTTCAGAGTTTTAAATTAAAATAAAATGTTTTATGAAAATAATCTATAATTAAGAATAACTGATTGAGATATTGAACAACTTTTCATGTTTCTCATGCAAACCAATTTATGCTGAGAAATACACTGAATTACCACTATATTGGATCATGATGATTTACCCATAATGGCTATCAATGATGGTGTCTCATAAAAAGTAACAAACCTTATATTCTTGATATATTAGCCAAATTAAGTTCATTATACATTATTAAAATTAAAATTAATTAGTTATATCGATATATTTAAATCATTAAGTTAATTGAGATAATAATATCAGTGTACTTTTAGACAATTCGCTATACTTTTGATACTAATATTCTTTATAAATAAATTTTTATAAATTTTATTAGAGTTAGAGTTAAAATTTAAATGAATTTTACTATTATTTATTTATTGAATCTATAAATGATAGCACAATAACTTAAGTTAAGTTTTGTTAATGAAGTTAAGAGTAAACCAAACAATTTGTAAAATATCGCAACGAAAGAAGTGATCATATAGTAAAAGAGTGAATAAGTCGGTGGTCGGGAAGGTTTGTTTAGAAACATCACTTTATTGTCAGTTACCATAAATCAATGTCTTCAATATATGAGACAAATACCGCCAATGAGTAGATAGGATATGACATGTCATATGAGTGCCACTCTTAACATAAAGCAAAGCACTAAACACTGGTTTAGCGCACACTGTATAGTATAGTCAACCAAATAATAGAAGCGTAAGAAACAAGACTTGAGTCGTGTATTAATATTGTGTGAAAACATATGTATTCCACTCTATTGTAAGCTTTGATTACAACACTAAATCTTTGCTAACAATTCACACTTCACTTTATCTAAATTATTTCCAATTAAACAATTTGAACTCATTTTAACGCCACTTAAATTTAAAACTATATTATATTAATATAACAAAACATACCTTTGTTTAAGTGATGATTTTCTGACGATAACTTTGGCTATAATTAAAGAATTTTAAAAATTAATTATATTTTAACAATAATTATCTAAATATCAAGTAAATATACCATAAAATTATTAATTATTAAACAAATAAAGTTTAATAACTTTGTAAAATACAAGAATTACTTTTAGAATAAAAATATGAAGGTGGACATTTAAAAATTAGTTTTAAGAAGTCTGCATTTACATCATAAACATTTGAATTGCTCTATCATAAATGCACAATGAAATAGAAATCAAATATATAACCAAATAATATATTTGCAAAATCAACTGCAATATACATATTGTATATATCTTACTATGATTACAACTTTCTTATAATTAATATAAGATTAAAATAACAATTAGTTGACAGCTAATCAAAATGATAGTCAACCCCATCAGACTTGGATTGTGTTCAAGGATTTCCAAGTGAATAATAATTTTCAAAATTGAGATTTGCTTCGAAAATAATTGCCATTTAATTCAAATCAAATAACGTATAGAGAACTTTCTTTAATAAAAGTAAGTTTGCTTTCTTAAGAAATTTATTCAGTAATATATTGTATTTAATATTCAAAATGCTTTAAAATGAATTTATTAAATGTTTAGCTTATAAAATGAGAAAAAGAAAAATCTCATAAGTTTGTGTTTATAATATTAAATTTCTAGTAGATTTAAAAATTGTTGTATTATATAATTAAAATTACTTTGAAATGTGTTTGAAATTGATAAATATATATTTGTTTATCTAAAAAAAGTTTTAAATACGTTAAGAAATGAGTATCTATGGGGTTAAAATAAAATCCATTTATCTATAATATTGGCTATGGTATTTCTTAACTGTATAATAAATTGTGTTATAAGTTATATGAATACAATAGTGACAAATGGTATCAATTGGTTTGCATTGATATAAGTGAGGAGAAGAGCCCTACAGTTTGTACAGATTGTTATGCGAGCGCATCGTTTATGTGTTTCGTGTGAAAATATAAGTTTGAATAGAAGTGAAAAGTATTGGCGAAGATGTGAGCTTAAGGTATAAAAGGAGATCAGATAAGATGAGGTCAGTCTGAGAGGAGTTGAAAGTTGAAAGCAGTTGCCATTGAATGTGAGTGTTTGGCAACAATTGCATCGACAGATCACCACAGAATAGCAGACAACACAACACAAGAGGCAAACGATCTAAGATTTATGATTGAGGCTAAGACTTAGTGGTGAATATCGCTTCTCTCTCTAACTTTGAAATAATGGTTTTGAGAATATGTTTGTAAGCAGTGATAGCAGTGGTTGACTCGTATAGTGGTATACAACACACGCACACAACTCATTAAAAGACAATTAATTGTGAGACCAATACTTGCTTTGGATTTGAGTTCTCGTCTAATATTATACATTATTTATAAGAATAATTCACAAACAAATCTCTAATATTCTTAATCGACTAACATGTTAGCAATACATGCAGTTGTAGGATGTAAGCAATACATACCTCGAGACCTCCGTTCCACATGTAATGGACAGATGCACTGTCGACGTGCTGGCTGGCCGAGTGGGCAGGGCTGGGCACGTGTGCGTGATCGGCCATCACTGACACCCAGTGCACGAGACCCGAGTTTGGTGACACCGGGCGGCCCGATGTGGGCCCTGAAACGGGCGGCGTGTTAACAGCTCCGCCACCGATTCCAGCGATGCCGGCACCTGATGTCGATTTACCATGAACTCCACCGTCTGGAGCTCCGGGCCAAACCAGAGCTGCTTTCTGTCAAATATAAGTCCATACGATTAACATTAAACCACTCATTGGATCGAAATTAAAATTAACACAAATTAGTGATCGTAAGGGCAAAGAGGATGAGAGGGGATGGAGTGGATAGAGGATAGAGTGGCACACCTTCACTGAGTACATGGAATTTGCAGAAGAGTTTAGGATTCTGTTCGAGTCATAAGACATTCGGCTTTTGTTAAAGAAAGGAAAGTGACAATTCTGTGGCACTGATGGCTGACAATCACTTTCACTGACAACTTCTTGTTTGATATGTCGGGGATTGTAATACAGATGCGGAACACTGAACGCTATGTTATCATAATCGGCGGCAATACTGTTGTCAATGAGATGAGGATTCAACACAGAGTTATGCATCTGAATGGGTCCGATCGGTCCCAGCATTGCAACGCATAGACCGAACACCACAGTTGACCACTCATTCACCACAACCACAACCACTACTTCGCTATACTATTAAACAACTTTATATACAATACTATCAAACACTTCCAACACAGCATTCATAAGGTCTCACAATAAGTGAGCACCGGATTCATGAAACGAATGTCAGTGCAGTTTGAGAGGCATTCTATCAGTGGTGGAGAAATACGTTTGGATGAGTGGAGTGACTCAAGACAGCCAAGAAGTAAGTATGAGTTGAGCTCTTGTGCTCAGCCCTACACTCTCTGATGTTACAGATGAGCACTCGCGCCAATTGCACTCACGACGCTTCCCACCACAGACTCATGAACAGGCATAGACACCACCGACCACTCACTTCTTGCACACATCTTTGTGCCAAACACTCATCCACTGCCGAACCACCACTACAACCATTCTATAGTCAACTATAGCTCCCCCTCCTTATCATCACAACCTTATATTAACTGTAATCATATTTACGGTGTATATAATGTGTATAAAAATATACTTTCATTCACTACTTCTTTCCAATAGTTTTTATATTTTAAATACAAACACTTGAGTCGAGATTTTTTTCCTAAAGAATGTCTTTTTTGTATTATTTATCATTTGGTAACATTTAATCGAGTAATTGAAGATCTAAGCAATATTTTATCTAAATAGTAATCAATTTAGTTTAGTATTTATTTACCTAACAATTAAAAGATCTGTTGTTTAAAAAGTTGAAATTAACAACAAAAATCAAACTTTTGTATTGAATGCAATTGTGGGAAAATCTTATACAATAAGGCACTGGCAGTAGGAATGCGTTATAAACGGTATAAATAAGAAAAAGTATGAGAAATGAATTCAATGTACAGTCTATATGGCTTAGGATTTCGTTATGGCACATCTTATTTTGTTGGAGCAAAAGGTGATCCATCACTACAATAATTTGCGGACGCAGTGGGTTCTAAAGACTGGCCCCACACACAAGTGGGCCCCCAATCGCCCAAAATATAGAGACAAATAAGTGTGGGATGTATTGCAAGACTGGTATCAAATTAGAGGAAACATTGAAAGTTGACTGCATTTGATGGCAAAAATATGTCGTTTTGTGACGGAATCTGCGAGACTTCAAAGTAATTCATACGACAGTATGATTGCAGTGGAAGTGATTCCTGCAGCAACTACTGGAGCTCCAGTGCCCTAATTAGAGACTACAAGAACTATCAGTTCCAGCAGACAAAAAATGTATAGATTTTATAAAAAATATTGAAAAAACATGGGATATAGTAATCATGAATGAGAATAATAGGAGGTGTAGTAAGAATTGTCCACTCTCTTCAATGCACTCAATATACTATCAAATTTCAAACACTTGCCAAACGCCTCAGGCTTTGAGCCAAAGACTACAATAAAAGTACATACAGTACTGAAGTACATAATATGTACTAGAACTATATTCAATAAAACTCATTCAAGACATTGAATGACCCACACTTGTGCTACAAATAGATTCACAGAAAATGTTTATAAATACATAATAAGTATAAAATTGTCACTAATTGTGTGCAACTGATGTTTTCAATGCAAATCAAGTGAATTGCGTGTCTCAACAAATCAGTGCCACTAAAATCAGTGAATGAAACAAATTGATATAATTGTAAATTCGCGTCAAATATGAGATATCAATTGTAGCGACATTTGTTTGCTATACCATTGTAATCATAATTAGAAATACTAAATAGTATTTAAACCATATTTACCAATGCATAAATATAATAAATTATTGTAAAGTACATATTTAACTCAAAATGAAAATATCTTTAAATGAATTGAATATTTAGTGAAAATGAGAAAACAAAAAGTTTTATTAGAAAAGAAGAATTTAAATATTGTATCCTTAAGTGATGTAACTATTGATAAGATAGGAAATAGAGTTGACATCACAAGACTGGCCATCAAGAGATGGCTTTATTTGAATGCAATGGTTGTGTAACTTAGTTGTATGGTTGTTAATCAAACAGAGATTGAATTTGAATCAAATATTTGTATTTCCCACAGAAGGGTCGTCAAAATGATTGCATTAGAGTTGAGAGAGACTGAGAGACTTAGCATAGAGTAGAGCCAACTGTTTAATGGATAGCTCTAATGGAGGTCAAGGAGAAGAGTTTGTCAGTAGAGTTGCAAAAGTTAGTCAAAGTTTTGATAATACTTAAAAATACTCAGTTATCAGACATTGATTATTGGATATGATTTGTATGATTTGCATGCGATGTGTGTGTTGTGTGGATGTATTGGTATTGTTTGTGGTGATGTGTTTCTGGTTTAACAATAAATCATTTAACTCCCGCTGACATCAGTTGAAGATCTATTAGTCCACAACTAAACTGTAGCTCATATTATAAGATTTGTACATAAAGTTGTTCACATCTGTCTAACCTCTCTCATGACCTTATATTTGAATTACAAAACATAAGCACAGCATCAATACTCAAACACCCGCGCAAAGTCATTGACAGACATATCTCTACACTATATCCACATTTCAATTCTTTCATAAATATCAATACATAACCACAATTCAAAACTTATTACTATTGCTAAGCATTTACTCAATCAACTCATACTTGCATTTAATGCTTAAGTCAGTTATAAACGCATTATTCAAACAAAACTAACTTATAATCAAAACTTTTCTAATAATAGAAGAATATGTTTTGCTTTACATTGAGTTCCCGAATGGCCTGGGATGCTTTTTAGAAAATGACATTTCATTCAAGCAACTTTTATAGTAATACTGTAAGCAAATTGTTTCATATTGTATATTATTGTTGATAATGTTGTTAAAACTGATTTGTAAAACATAACACTAAACCTGTCACTATTTACAGTACTGTATTGTGTTTTTCAGTAAACTAAATAACTGTAAAAACAAACATTTTTTGTCGCAAATGTTGAACTTTTTATCTCCAGACATAATGCACACAATTAAATGCAAATCATAAAAATAATTTCCAAATATTCTGAGATTAATCTCTATTAATGTGCGATTTATTGATAACATTTAAGGATTTATGGCACAGACTAGGAAAATGTGAGATAAATTGTAATTTTGAGGGACAGGTAGTGTGGGTTAGAGTGAAACGAATGGAATGAGGAGTTAGTGGTGTCGGCAAATGAATGCCGAAATGCTGTATTAATACTGTACTGTATATCCAAATATAAGTTATAAAATATATCCAAAGTTTTTGCTTTGAGTGACTCTTATATAAGAATATAACCTGAAGAGAAATATATGATTGAAGTGAAGTAAAGCTGCAGCAAGACTGAGAACCACATGAGCCACATATGAACCACACATGAAGCACATGAGGATTGGATGGATTGGAGGGGCAAAGAGGCAAACATTTGTGCTTTCAATTAGTATAACACATAGTTTTACTCATTCTTTAATAAAACATTGACCGGTAATTGCATGCGTCGACTGAGAGTCACAAATTCGGTCCGCAATTCAATTAGAAGCAGATTTGGCACAAAAATTTAATTGAAAAAAGACTCAGAGTTTTGATGCCAAGCATAACATAAGTTATGCAAAATTGCGCGCATCTGATGACTAAGCCGTTGATGACTTCAATGTATGAATGAATGCCGTATTAATTGGAGACCGAATTGAATATTTGTCACAATCTCTAAGACTTAATAAGTTCTTGAGAGGAGTAGAGAGTAATCAAAGTAATTATTGATGAGAAGAAATGCTGCTGAGCATCACATGCTCTACGAGTAACAGTTTAGCCCTTATATTACAGTCAAATACAGTACAAAAAATAGTTGATCTCAAGTATTGCTTTTGTAATTAGTCGAGTGAAAGCAAATTACTCGTTAAACATATTCTAATGTTAAGAATACCCGCATTCAAGACATCCATTGCAACTACCAGTGCTCTACCACTGCTCTACCCCTCTATCCAAAAGTCTACAACTATTCAGCATCTCTTCCCTACACATTCTGTACTGCAATACACTAATAGTAATGCCACTCAATATGACTCTTACGACACTCTTAACCAACACTACACTACACAACACATAAATAAGAAAAGACTTAAAATTAGAATACGAGAGAGAGAGAGAGAGAGGGAGAGAGAGCACAAGTTGGTGTCCCTTTAGAGCGAAAGAATGCATGTCTTCACATGTTTGAAAGCAGTTGTAGTGTTGATGTCCTCTCCTTCTCTTCCTTTTGCTGATTACTTAATCGATAGATTTCTCATTCTTTTCAGTGGTGTTGATGTTTGGATGTTTGGGCACAAAAAAGTTTCGGCCCTTATTTGTGCCAAAACTAAAAGTTGGCCAAAACATAGCATTGCTGTAGCAGTCACACAATACTGATTATAATGTAATACTTGAATCGAAATTTTTCGCTGTTTTACTCCTAATTTTGTTGCTCTCTCTCCCTCTCTCTCTCTCTCTCTCGTATTCTAATTTTAAGTCTTTTCTTATTTATGTGTTGTGTAGTGTAGTGTTGGTTAAGAGTGTCGTAAGAGTCATATTGAGTGGCATTACTATTAGTGTATTGCAGTATATCAGCAAAAGGAAGAGAAGGAGAGGACATCAACACTACAACTGCTTTCAAACATGTGAAGACATGCATTCTTTCGCTCTAAAGGGACACCAACTTGTGCTCTCTCTCTCTCTCTCTCTCTCTCTCTACAAAGGAGAGAGACTAGTGGTTGTGGAATAGTGAGGGTCGAGAGAAAAACAGAGCTATACTGTAGATCATAGTGTGGTTCACAGAAAAGAGAACTAAATATTAAGACGAGTTAATCACTGTCTGAATGGGTGACACAAAAAGTGCACAAAAACTGTTAATAATTTGGTTTTTGGTCAATAAAATAGGAAAATAGGACTCAATTGATATGCTATTATTGTCTCAAATTTTGAGCACAATGAATGAATAAAAACAATGAAAAAATGTTTTAAATGTAAATAAAATGTTGGGATCAGTTAGAGATAGTATTTCAAAGAGATTGTTATTAAGTGTATTAAAAGTTCAATGAATTGAATTGAAATAATGACAGAATTGGACAAAACCTCAAAAGAAGCAATTTTGCGGTCAGAGATAAGACAATATATACCTGAATAGAAAAAGTTTTCGAGTTTCAATTTGAGTGTATGAAAGCGTACAAACAATTTTGTAAAAACTAAGACTAAGACTAAGACATGAACTTTGATTAATTTCGTGGAAATAAAGTGAAGAACTCATTGCAAACGTATATAACGTATATATGAAGACAAGTGAAGCGTTGAGTTTCATTCATCCAATTCATGCTCAGCTAAACAGAGTGTGAGTTCGAGTCGAGACTCTAACCAAACTCACACTCAACTGACGCTATTATAGCCCACTCTCTATAGAGCTAATCATAAAAAGCAATACAGAATCACCAGAAAAGGTAGAGAATAGAGATCTGAGATGCAGAGGTGTCACTATTGCCACCATTGCCTTACTGTTGAGGAATGTGCTTCAGGGACAGGGATCTCTGAACACTGAACACATACAGTACTATCACGTTTGACGTATAGTAATGCTAGTCTTATACAGAATCAAAGTGCCTGTATGAAATGAATAATATAAATTGAGTTAAAGAATGATTAAAACATTTGGTGATATTAGTTGCAAATAGAGAACAATTAGTGTATAGATATAACATGTGTTATATTGATTAGGAAATGCAGTGAGTATTGCAAACAATTTGACTAATAATAGATGAGTTGTTAAGAGATAACGTGATCCATGACTCAGTCATCGGTGGTAAGTCTTAGTGAATGCAAGTATTGCTCCAACAGTTACAATGAGTACAGCATTGATGCGACAGAAATAAGAGATCGGAGACATACAAGTGATTGCAGTCACAGGTATTTGAGTAATAGGACTGAAATCAATGCAAACTTATATAAGAGATTGTGTTCACGAGAGAGAAAAGCGTGAAATTGCAGACATATATAGAGGAAGAGGAGAAGCCAAGAGTGAGTGGAGACTGAAAAAGTAAGTGAACCGTGATTTTGTCACTGCCTGTGCTCTGCAATTTGGTAGCAACTGTTTCAGCCTTGACCAGCCTTGCGGTGATTCCATAAGAGACTGCTCTCATATATCAGCCCTCTATGCCATCACTGCCACCACTGATTCCAACACAATTGTACTAACCGTTGTCTACCGTCTCAAATAGCCCGGTATCTGACACGCATGGCTTATCATCCATACCTCTCTCTCTCTCTCTCTCTCTCTCTCTCCGATATAATACCTGAGCAAAACATACGAAACAATTTAAAGATGCTTTGCTTCACAGATCTATTGGACAACAAATGTTAACTAAACATCACAAACACTCGGATAGCGAGACATCCGATAGAATGAGAAATGAGTTTTTCTTATGATAAATGAATGAATCGGACAATTATATTGTGCTCTAAACCACTGTTACATTCATTGACAAACAATCTCTTTAATTTCGTTTTCATTGCTCTCGTTTTTGCTATTGTTTTTTGTCAATAAATGAATCGTTTAATTTGTAATCAGTTATCACTGATTATAAAAATAAAACCAGACATTTAAATAATTTGAACAAATTCTTATTAAATAGAAAGTTTTTATTTGCTTAATATTCTGTGAAAAAGGCTTAACTAAAGATATCTACTGAAGAAGTGTTTAAAAGTGCCATAAATTATAGTCGAGAGACGGCAACAAACAATAATATTGTTGAGAATAATGTAATTCTAACACAATTACAACTTTAACTTATATTATGGTCTGTTTGGCAATTACTAAGAAAATAGTTTTTGTGAAAAAACTTTTCTCATTGTATTTGAGAGAGATTTGGAAAAGATTTTAGAGTGCATTCATGTATAGCATAGTATTGAGTCTGAATGTGAGTGATATGAGAGTAGAGCACAAATTGTGTGCCAATACATCCAATACATACACACATCGTATGAATGCACACATAGATAGAAGACACAGACCGACAGACACACACAGTCTGTACAGTACTGTACACTAAGACATAGTTGTTGTGATCAGGGCTTATGAGATAGTTTTGATGGATTACAATCAGCTCAGTCTCGATGACCTGAGCGCTGGCGAACGGAGAGCTCATCAATCAAAGTGTCAAAAGGCAGAGTCGGGCAGAATAGGGCTGAACGGAAACATTGAGTCGATCCACGGAATCGAGACTTACACTGAATCCGATGCCAACTCACAGCTATTCGTGTCATTGTGTTCACAATAATCACAAACAAAACTCAGTACTAAACGCCGTTATAATAGTTACACTCAAAACTTATATAATTCAAGACAAAAAGACCTCTGCATTGGCCGATGGATTAAAATCTGTAATCTATAGCTCAATATCAAGAGAACTAGTTTCCAGTCATTTATTTAGAAATTCACTCAAATGTTCACATTTTATGCAATTTTAAAGTCTAACTCAATCTTTAAATTAATTTTCCGGTTTTAATAATGAGATAAAAGAGACTGTTTGTAAGAAGTCATGATAGGCATAGGGATAGGGATAGGGAGCAAATGTACGGTAAGTAAGTTTGCATCTCATAAATACTGGCAGCACTAGCTTTGATGCTCAAGTAGTGCAGCAATGAATTATCAATATAAGCAATGGTTAGATACCAGTGCCTGAAGGGTCTAAAGGGTTAAGTTTCGTCAGACGTCCTTGAGTTGAGTACAGATGAGGCTGAGCTCGCATTCTAGACATACATTCATATGAGTGCAGCAATGAGTCTGAAATGCAATCACCAAATGATCCATTAGATCACGGCATCACTGTCTGCCAAATAACATACCATACATTTGCTTCAGATTACTATCTATTGCTCCTACCATTCAGTACTAACCAAACAAACAGTTCTATCAATTGTAACAACAGGATCAATTATCCGCAATTAAATTAGCTTAAAATAACAAATAATAAAAACAAAATAAATAGCCAACAAAACATAACTAGAACCAAATAATTCTAGTAACAATTTATCACTTTATCTCATAATGAATTGCAAAGATGTTTAAATAGTAAAATATTAATTATTTTAATTATAGTATAATATGAAAAACGAGTTTAAGAATTATATTTTTAGATTATGCTTTCAAAAATATTTACCATGTTATTCAATGAATAGTATTGTATACAATTTTAAAATTAATTTAAAGAATTATTAAAGAAATTAAATTTTTAAAAATGTTTGCTTAAAATGTATAGTAGTATAGAAATATTGTATTATGTTAAAATTAAAGAAGTTAATCAAAAAGTTTTGTTTCCAGAATTAGCTTTCTATTAAAATAAGTTCTTGGATAAGATTAATTCCATTTAATATATCAATACACATGTAATATTAAATATACAGTAATATAAGTCCTAAAAACATAACTGACATTCAATTTAATAATAATAAGAGTTAACAAAAAGAAAGCCTTCTTATGAGAGGTGTAGTCAAGGATTATAAGTTATAACTCGTTCTCAACCGTCTGTTAAGCAATAATGCAATCGACGAGCATTGCTGCCGATGTGGTCCGTGTGTGGACAGCCTTGACGACCATATCCACCAATACATCCCCACAACCCATACATGCAAACTCTGAACCATTATTTAAATGCCAGTCTAAACTCAATTCATATTTTTTCTCTTATTTTTCACAAGAGTTGCGAAGAATTTTAGTTTTGTTTTTTAATTCTAACGTTTAATCAAATAAAAACTTCCATAAAAACAAAAGTAAAGAATAAAAGTTATGATAAATAAATAAAACTCAATAACCGTTATGTATACAATAAATAATAGCAGCATACAATCATATTAAAACTATTTGTTATTATGTTTCATTAACGTAAGTTAATTTAAATGATAAATGTTTAAGAGAAAAATTGCTATTTAAATCCTACAAATGATAATATATTTGATAAGTTTTTCAAAAGAGTAAAATTATAAAATACAGAACCAATAATATGACCAATTATATCATAAAATGCAAATTACTACATAAGAAAGCATTAAACTCTTTTAACCCAAATGATTTCTATAACGATTATAACGATGTCAGCAATTATTGCTTATCAAGCAAAATCACTTAAATTGTTAATCAAATTTGCAATATAAAGTTTTACATATCTTCTAAAATATTAGTTATAACAAATATGTTGAATTGTTATATTAAGTCAATGTTACCTCAAAGAGTCAAAAAGTATTTAAAGTATATTAAATGAATATATTGTTAAAATAAAAGTTTGCAAATAAAGGCCGAAAATGGGATAAAGTTTGGCGTAAGTGTTATGCATTTGAATGTTGAAAAAAGTGACAAAAAAACGAATCAATAGTTTAGATATTTTTTGCTAAAAAGGCTGGCATTAAAAGCTTGCGATTTCATAGCAATAGTGATGGTATGCTTGCGATGGCAATAGAGTTGCCGTCAGTTTTTATACTTAACTAATACTCTATTAGATATAAGAGAGAGAGTTGTAGGCATTGCTCTACAATTGCAATACAATTGCCGTACAAAGCAATACAATACCTACCTTTGGATATCAATTGGATCTTCTGTTCAGTAGTAGTGTTTGGTTTAGGCTTTAATTGTGTGAAAGCAAAGCCAAACTCTAATCAAATTCACAGCATTTCAGCCATAATGCAATCACTTGACACGAAAGAGTCTGGAGATTCGAATAACGGCGCATCTCATCAGCACTGGTAGCTCAGCGCATGACTTACCACTCTTACCATAGGATATCATATGAGATACCAGTTCTCAACACAACGCCACTTGTCTGAAGAAATCAAAACTTAAGACTAAGACTACGATTAAAGACTATCACTACTACTCTATCCAAACCATTCACTTTGCGTTCAATCAATACAACACCAAAAACTTACAATTCTCTCAAACTTTCAAACTATCAGTGCTTTCACTCCACACCACATGAACTCAGACACAAACACATGAAAAACTTTATCAAACAATTGGGACCAAACTTAGACTATCGGATGGCATAATCTGAATTTACTTTCTACCAAAACTTCAAATAGCCGTTAAGTGATAAACAATTTTGAAACTTTTTAAACATAATTAAGCTGAAGTAAAATTGATTATAATGCAACTTGTTTTCATTCAAAATAAAATAATGTTTAATAAATATGATTAACTTAAATATCATTGGAAGAGATATACTGACTTCAGTATTATCTAATGCCAGATAAACGTAATATCAGCACTGGTAGCTCAGCGCATGACTTACCACTCTTACCATAGGATATCATATGAGATACCAGTTCTCAACACAACGCCACTTGTCTGAAGAAATCAAAACTTAAGACTAAGACTACGATTAAAGCCTATCACTACTACTCTATCCAAACCATTCACTTTGCGTTCAATCAATACAACACCAAAAACTTACATTTCTCTCAAACTTTCAAACTATCAGTACTTTCACTCCACACCACATGAACTTAGACACAAACACATGAAAAACTTTACCAAACAATTGGGACCAAACTTAGACTATCGGATGGCATAATCTGAATTTATTTTCTACCAAAACTTCAAATAGCCGTTAAGTGATAAACAATTTTGAAACTTTTTAAACATAATTAAGCTGACGTAAAATTGATTATAATGCAACTTGTTTTCATTCAAAATAAAATAATGTTTAATAAATATGATTAACTTAAATATCATTGGAAGAGATATACTGACTTCAGTATTATCTAATGCCAGATAAACGTAAAAACAAATGACAAACGGGTTGTCATACAAAATACAGTGAAGTACTGTAATGTAAGGATTTTATATAAAATGTAGTTTTATAGATATTGTAAAGTAGTTACAAAATATAAAAATAAATAAATAATTATAAATTTATAAGTGAAAATGAGACATAACATAATTAATTGAAATATTGATGAATAAATTTTATTTTTGTTGAAATGAGGAAAAGTTGAGACAAATTGATAGCTAAGTGAGTTGTGCCGAGAGTTTGCTTTTTGAAGCGTTCATAGAGTATTGGTATTGAATACATGTTTTGAGAGTTTTGGTAGAAAAACAAGTGTATTGACAGGTATCGACTTACTTGAAAGCCATTGCAGTCCAACATTTGTTTGGATGTAATTCTTCTTCAGTTTTCGGGTAATGTTTGGATTTGTGGAGAAAAGAGTGCAAAAAATCAACAGTTGGTCACGAAGTGTGAGAACTACTGAATCTATTACGACATGGATTTCATTGAGTGAGGAATGCATTAACTCTTAACTCTCGTGCAATCGCTAACTCCTCCTTTAGATGGTCTTAAGGACCACCACTGGGATGGAGTCCCCGGTGCAACCCTTTACCTCTAATTGAACCCAATATATAAGCAAATCCAATACCAATACCTCTCTAAATGTTCATTCAATCTAATTTAAATCTTATTCATTATTTTAATTAACACCATATTTTCATTTTTCATAACTTTCTTGTTGTATACCATTTCATATCAATTCATATTTTTTATCAAAACCTGTTCGCAATTCGAGTGAAAGTGATACTAAATATATTATATTCTTGGATATTCAATAATTGTGGTGAAATATTTCACTTGGTTAAATAAGTTTATAACTGAAAAACTTGTGTTTTCAAATCACAAATTTATAATATTTTATAGTATAACATAAAATATTGCTTAATTTTGTCAATGAATATCTAAATATTATAATTTATAATAAAATATGCAATAAATGTAATGAATTTGTCTGGATTGTTTTCAAATCACAAATTTATAATATTTTATAGTATAACATAAAATATTGCTTAATTTTGTCAATGAATATCTAAATATTATAATTTATAATAAAATATGCAATAAATGTAATGAATTCGTCTGGAATTAAAGTATGAATTCTTATTTGGAAAGCATTTTAAATCTATAAACTTAAGCAAAAGATCTTAACTCTTCTAATAGTCTATGGAAATCATAACACGTTTTTAGGTTATAATCATTTTATAAATCAAAGTGCAATCAAAGATAATAAAACATGTCTAGAGGAGAGAGAGAGAGAGAGGGAGGGAGAGAGAGAGAGAGAGAGAGAGAGATTCATAAGTAACTCATTTTAAATACAGGCTTCCGATGGACGATAAAGAGGCAGAAATGAGAATTATATAAGCATTGAATGGTTAATATATTGATCTCATTTGCAAAAACACTCCAATCTTACTATTGGATTAAAATTGATTCTCAAAACACATGCATTTATCTGTATAATAATTATCTGTCCTTAACTTATAGAGAAAAATTAAATGAATTTATTAACCAATTGTTATGTCAATTATTATATATTAAAAATTACAAAATTCTTGGGGTTAAGAGTGCGATCACTTGCAGTGAATCTCGAACTCAAAGTGCGTTCATATCATTCATTTCAAGTTTATTTTTACTCCACTTTTTTGGGAAAAAGGCCACAAAACCTGCCGTTAATTACTTGATTTGATTAAAATAATGATAGTAAATGCGACCAATAGTTGGGATAAAAGTATTTACATTTTACTGCTTCTCATATCGTCTCGAATTGATATGAAGTCGAGACACAAACACTAAAATTCTCAAATATAGCTTACTCTTTTAATTATAGCTTTATTTATATTATTGCAATATAATTGATAATTATATAGAAAAATATTACAATATTTTACAACAGTTTTATAAGAATAATAACAATGAGGACTATTTTAATAAATTACAAAATGGATACAAATATTCGTAATTAAATGATAAATTTGAACAAAAATTGGAGATTTTAGTGGTTTTGTAGCTGAGTTCCTAAAAAATGAAATTTACAAACAAATTAGAAAATAAGATAATAACTCAATATCTTAGGAAAGTCTTGTCGGTTGTAAACCATCGAAATGATGGTCTAATGTTGTACTCATATACCATAATAATAGAGAATTAGCAATAAAATCCTACAAATGATTATACATTTGATTCGTTTGAATACTTTGAAGACAATCGATATATAAATAGAAATTTAGGCAAATATTCAATAGATTTAGTGAATTATTTTGAGAGTTAAAGAGTGGTAATGAGTCGTGAAAAGAGGAAAGGGAGCAATCATTTAAGGATCGATTAGATGGTTGGGCATAGAGTGGGCTCATATGGCACTGGATTGATGATGAGCCACAACGAAGCAGTTGTGACTTCTTGAGAGATGCCGTGTCTTATCAGTTGATTCAGCAAACAGTCCAACATTTGCAGGTATTTTCATAAATTACTCAACATTACATAACATCGACTGCACAAACAGATATTAATAGTGTATTCAACGCATTTTCCGATGCCATATGTTTTTCGGTTACTTTTTTGAATATGTAATGACTTTTTTAATGTTCATAAAAAATCATTGCCTAAAACCTCAAAGGATTATCAATAAAAAGCATTCGCAGTCTCTCTCTAACTTCAAAGCAAAACCTATTTTTTTGTTCTAAAGAAAAAACTTTGAGAAAAAGCTTAAGAGTATTGCATCCGTTTTTTAAGTGATAGAAGGGTATGGTATGCCTATCAAAGAGTACAACCATTGAAATAGGTTTTTACACACCTATACCTTTATTCGGCATTTGTATCAATTAGAAAAAAATTGTGTAATTTTTTGCTTACCCTTGAATCCTATCTCAGGCACAGCACCTATACGTCCAAAAAAGAGAATAAAGGAAATAAAAAAATTAGAGTAAGAATTGCTTGTATGCTGAGGCAATGGGCATCTGTGCCCTATCACTGCAACTGTCACTCCACTCCATGACTGCATGCCTGTGCTCTGCATTACATTACACTGCAGTATAGAGTGTGTGATCCCAAGTGACCGGATATAAGATAATAGATACTCATTATTCACACAATACTTCTTGTAATTTCTTGTCTATTAGTATAATATACTAAACATTAATAGTAATTCAGTGCTCACTTATGGTGAACCGTAAAGTATATGCAAAAGTCAAGCATTGCTTTTATCAATACAAGAAATATTATGTTTTTATGCCAAAAGCCTTAGGGATTGTCTTATATAAGTTTGAATTAAATTACTGATAAATAAGTCGGAAAGTGAACCGAAAATTAGTGATTCATAAGTTGTTATACCTTTGATGTAATCGTCATCAATGAGAGTGCAGTCACCAGTGGGTACTTCATCTATCTGTTCAAAATAGGATACAATTCATATCATTACCACATTATTTGCATTAATCTACAGTTAAATCTAATTATTGTCATTAACTTTGGATGACATGTTATAATTAATTTAAATAATTATTTTAAGACAAACAACTTATGAACATAAATCTAATTCAAATCAATACGATTTCATATTTAAATTTAATTCAAAAAAGCAAATAAAACTTAGAAATAAATAAAACTGAGGACTAAGTGCATGAGATGTGTGCGCGTAAGGCCGGGCCACACAATATTGAGTATTCAAATCACTTCTAATGATCTTTTCTAATGTTTATTCAGAGCTTCCAATGAATTGAGTGAACGAATCATTGGTGTCAACGGAAAGAAAAAGTATTTGTTTTGACGCTTAAAACGTAAGAATTTATTGTATAAAAAGAGTGAGATTTGAAAGAAATGGGGGGAAAGTGGAGAAGAGTGGGAGACTCGGCGGAGGCTAAGAGAGCCAAACACTACTGAAAAAAGGTGAAAAAACTTAGAATGAAAAG